TTTAGAAATTGTGACATTTTATCCTAAGCCAAGGTGACTTGCTCAAGTAAAATGCTCAGAATTAAAGCACATATATGGTTAGTGTATGTATGCGTGTTCTTTCTGGCGGTCAGTGCTGTAACTCATCATAAGGTGATTAATGTGGCCATGACGTGGCGGCGGAGCTCAGTAATCAGCCTGTAGTGTTGGAGGTTGATGAGGAGAGCAGCTGCTCGTCTACTCAAGATGACAGGCTGCCATTGACAGGGCTGCTTGTCAACCGCGCCAGTGTGCCTGTCATAAGCCATTTCTCTTCATTTTTATACCTGCTCTATAAACACACCTCTCACACTGACAAACAGCCCAATTCTGTCCTGCTGCTGTCCTCCCGCAGGCTCCTCGCATTTCTAAATTCACTGGCTCCAGCTTTTTTTCACCCAGTTGTCAGGGTTAGCTGCACCAGAGGCTGTAATCTTTACTTCCCCGTTTATCTGAAGAGGAAGGGAAGCGGCGACGCACCCTTTCAAGTGCACTTCATCATTACGCAGCCATTTCACGCTCTCATATTAGAGGTTTCGTTTTGTTTCGCACTTTTCAGCCAACGTGAGATTGATCTTTATTTTCATGAATGTTGACTTAAAAAGAGGCAAGTAGCAGCGAGCGTTGTGAAAACAGGATTTGATCCAAAGCTGTTTTCTGTCGGAGTCTCTTGCCAGGTTTTTTTTTCTCCATGCCTGTCTGTTCCGATTTCTACGGGTGATCGCTGAGGTAGGGCTGCCTCTGGCCAGGTTGTAGTTAGTCTGACCAGCATGCACAACCAACAAACACTGTGGCCTGGAGGAAGCACAGAGTCTTTGAATCCTGTCTGACGTGTTACTTGTGTAAAATTCTCGATAGCCTGAGCTGGCTAGTTGTGCAAAGGTCTATATAAGCCCTAATACCCTGTAAAACGTGCAGCTGAGCCTATTTGATAATGCAGTGGGGAATCCTGTTTAGGTCACTGTGCAGGGAAACATAGTGGCGCTTTTCATCGGCAGGCAGAAATGAGCTGGGGAATAGAGCAGGCAGCTTGAAGTTTGTGCTCTTTTTGATATAGCTGTGCTCAGAGCTCTCCTGAGGACGCGCGCCGCTGCTGTGGAGAAGCACACCGATTGATGTTCCTTTTTGGCGCGACGTCACAGCACTGCTCGCCGGCTGTGATTGATTAAACCGATTGCATTAGTATCAACAGGCCCTTGGTTTTACAAATATCTCGCGCTGCATGTTGGGGGATGTAAAACAGATCTAGAGCATGTCTTTGTTAATAGTGGAACCATCAAAAACACAAACAAAAACGATTCTCTCGCTTTGAATGCTTAAGTGTAAACGTGATTGCTTTTTACTTATGCATTTGTACACTTAATTGTTTTTATTTACGTGTGTATTATACGTAGGGCTGGGTCAATAAACTATATTCTATGGAATAACGATTTTTGACGAGAATTTGCCAATAGCTAAAAAAGCTCTGGACTTTTTTACTCTATTGATCTAAGAGCCTGTCACAGCAGAAATATGCAACAATGGGAATCTAGAAGTGTGTTGATGTTAGAGATGTACCGAATTTTCAGCCACTAAAAACTTATCCTCTGTAAATGTTATGCCATTTAATGGACCCTATAATTTTGTGGCTTCTGTCATTCTTGGGGTACTCCTTTAAATCTGGAACCATTAACAACTTATATTGAAATATATAGTGTTATCATTCAATATGGAAAATAATTATTGAGATTGCGTTTTTGCCATATCGCCCAGCCCAAATGATACATATTTGTTAAATTATGAAATTTATTTATAACAAAATCATATAATATTTGATGGAATGTATGAAGGAATATTTTAGCTGGTTGTCATGGAAATATTAAATTTTATTTTCAAAAATTGTACATGGAAATTTATTTATTATTTTGTTATTAATTAATTTGTGTTTTTAGGGAGTTACACCACTTGACTAGTATTGTCCTGATACTGGAATTTGATAGCAATCTGTACTGAAATTTTAAAAACGTCCATTTCCCGTTAACATTTGAGCACATTTTTAAACGGCTCTGATTTTGCATTGTGTTCACGTGCTCAACAGAAATGACTATGATTGGCCGTGAAGGTCATTAGATTACCGAACTCACCGCTGTTTACTAAGTGTAATCAGATACAGCGGCACTGGATCATTTTAAAGCCACACAGATCAGTCAATTCATTAGCAGATTGCTCGTATGTCGTCTTATAAACAGAACAGATGATCTTTGTGCTTTTAAAACGCTCCAGTGTCCCTCTATCTGTACTTGGTAAACCGCGATGAGTTCAGTGAACTGATGACCTTTACGGCCAATCATAGTAATTTCTGTTGAGCACGTGAATACAATGGCGAGTCAGCACCTTTTAAGAATGACCTCAAATGTTAGCGGGAAAATTTTAGAACAGATTGATAACAAATTCCAGTATCGGGACAACACCACACCTGACATTTTACTAGTCACCATGCCTTTAGGTTAGATTTTTTTGTTGTTTGTACAATTTCCTAATTGTATTGTTTTTGAGAACTTTATTTCACCAAAGCTAGCATTAAGTGCAACTGTTGCCAAGTAGGTGTGTCCGATATAAAGATTTTTGATTGTGGCCTCAAATTTTTATGTATCTACAATATACTTTTTTATGAAACATTGTAATATCATGGTTGAATGTGTTTTTTAAGCCATGTCTGTTAAATACCTCATTTGCATGGCACTATGCTTTTTTTTTCTAAGCGCATACACCAGAATAGCTCTATTTGTGCAAACTCACCACAACGCCTGTCAAACAGTGCTTCATTATAGGACTTGGTTATCCTTCACGTCTGATTGTGCTAAAGCTGTCAAAACCACACAAGATTTACATACAAACACAGTTGGTTTTCTAATATGAAAGTCAACAGTTAAGTGTAAAATGGATGTGTGACTTCTTAAACTGACTGCAGAATTATAGACTAAACATGTTGCCGCTTGTCATTAAGGGATAGTCACCAAAAAAATGTAATTCTGTTATTATTTGCTTATTCTGATGTCCCAAATGTCTGTATTCAGTTCTTTCTTGTGCTAAACGCAAGATACATTTAGGAATGTGGGTGACCAAAGAGTTGGTTGTTGATGTTGGAGAAAAAAACAAACTGTAAGTCAGTGTAGACTAGCAACTGTTGGTTACACATGCTCTTTGAAATAACTAATGCTTAACAGAAGAAAGAAACCTGTTTTAGTTTTGCAACAGCATAAGGTTGAAAGGATTTTCATTTTTGGGTCAATTATCCATTTTATATTAGTAAAACAAACATTTATTAACCGTTTTATTTTGTTTATTCAGTTTATGTAAATGTTAAAACTAGGGTTGTCAAAATTAGCGTGTTAACGCACTTGATTAATTTGAAATATTTAACAGGTAAAAAAAAAAATTACGCAGTTGCAGTTTATTTTATTTCCTGTTGTGGCTGATGTGTGTTCAACGCGTCCATAGAGGCGACCTAGGTGGCCACCTTGGGCAGCAGAATAGTTAGCGAACTCCCCGGTCCTCACATTCATATGCTACACCCACCCCCTCTCTCACGGCCCTCGGCCTTCCATACGAATAAAACGGCGTGATTTGCCGTTTGCCTAGAGCACCAGTTCAGCTTGCTCTGGTCTTATCCATTTTTCTTTGCATGTTAAACATACGCAGAGCCAAAGACGCGTTTTTAGAAGGACAGTTTCAGTATAAAACAATTAATGTCACATCACCAGGCTATCCTGCGTTTCCTCCAGAGTTTCATGCAGACTTTAACAGCAGTTCAGCAGTTCACTCTTATTCAGCATATTTTAATTCAGGATGTTTAAATGGAATTTGATACCACATGGCGAACGGAAAGAAAAACCATTTCGGGACTTGCGTGATCCTTTAAGGTATTCAAAAATTGCTGTTTACATGGTCGACTCTTAATCAGTATTATCTTATTCATCAAAGCTGAGTATTGGTGTCCATGTAAATGAAAGTGCCAGATGAATTCACAAGCTGTCAAACACAGCCCATTTCTCTTCCTTTAAGCTGCGTCCATGAGCCCTCAAATGTTTCATTAAGTTTGACGTGTTTCCCCCTTTTTGTAAAGTGTCTGGTTCACATTGGTGTGTCAGAATCTTTGCTTGTGAAATACAGCCATACTTTAGAGCGCTTAGTTTAAGCAAATTTGATTAACGCTATAGCACTTGTTGATGAATCTGAAGGGATCTCTCTTGGGGATCCCTCACTGCGTGCGTTGTCTGTGTATGTTTCTAGTCCACTAAGAATCCAACATGGAAAACATTTTTGTTTGTTATTGGCATGTATTGTTTTGAAATTCAATTGGCACTTACATGGCTGTGTTTTTATTTCTGTAATAAATACGGCATTTTGTGATTAATCATGATTAATTATAAAAAAAAGTTTGGTTAATCACGTTAATTTTTGTAATCATTTGACAGCCCTAGTTAAAACTAAGTACACTTACTCTACCTGAAAAATGACATGTTTTGTATTTGTAATGTTAATATTTGTTCTGTTTTATCTTTATCAAACAAATTGACAGGGTTTTTCATCTATGCCCACTGCATTTGTTTTTATTTTTAAAAAAAGGTAATCAGTTTGGCTGTACTGCTCAGTATACTTGCAAAAAAGTAAAACCAACATCACAAAGATTATGTGGAAAAAATATTGTAGAATTTTAATATTATTATTATTATTATTATTATTATTTATTTTTTATTTATTTATTTATTTTTTTTTACATTTTTGGGGTATTGCCATATATTCATTTAGTTTCAAGTTAAACTCCATTTAAAAAGGTAAAAATTATGGTTAGATAGATGGATTCATAGATAGATACATAGATACATAGAAAGATACATATATGTCTCACTGTGTCAGGGAAGGTGAAACTAATCTCTGCTAATGAATAGTTCACGTCATTGACCCATCTAAAATGCCATTATTTTCTGTTCTCCCTTTAGCTCTTCTGAAACACTGGGGTTGTTGGTGTGGCCAAATTTTCCCTGGATTTGATTGGTAAATTCAGAAGACTGAAGCCCAGGCTCACAGTCTACCTTTCACGGAGGCCCAGCCGTGAGAGGACAGAAGAAGGCACGTGGCGAATCATGACTGCCGACAAAGAGAAAGACAAAGAGAGGGAGCGCGACCGGGACCGGGACAGAGACCGTGAGAAGCGGGACAAAACACGGGAAAGTGAGAGCTCACGGCCCAGGCGCAGTTGCACGCTGGAAGGCGGCGCTAAGAACTATGCAGAAAGCGAACACAGTGAGGATGATGACAACGAGACACCCGGGGCCGCCACCGCCGAGGAGGCCACTAAAAAGAGCAAGAAGAAGCTGCCCAAGAAGAAGTCACGCTATGAGCGGACGGAGAACGGCGAGATCACTTCCTTCATTACGGAGGACGACATTGTTTACAGACCTGGTGGTGAGTTATGCTTGTAAAATCGTTATTTAGTATGTCTGGATATCAAAGTTTACTTTAATACACTATAAAAAATGATTAAAAATCCCTTGCTTCAAAAGTGGCAAGTTGATTTTACTTAATGTTGGTAATTATGTTGTATTTAACTTAATGGTTTGAGAATTACGTACATATCACCTTAGCATTAAGTAAATGAACGTAATGCTAAGTATGCTGAGCTTACTCACTTTTTTCACAGTAAACTAAACACTTTTCACAGTGTATGGACCCTATAGAATATGTTGGGTATGTTACTGTTAAATTGATGATTGATTAATTGATCATTATCCTTTAAATCAGTATACTATTGATGGTCGATTAAGTGTTGACGTCTCTGTTGTGCTTGTTTTTGAGGTGCATATGACAATGTGTGGCAGATTTGACGAGAACATGAAACAAGTAGACATTAGTTTAGTAACTCCAGTACTGTGCTTGTAGAAACAAAATGAACAAAACCTTTATACACACATTTTTTTAGCTGTACATTCTAGGGGTGTAACGAAGTTGTAATTTGACACACATCTCGAACTCATAATATGACATCTTGAAAATGCATGTTAAAAGTGTAATTGCATATGGTGACATGGTATAAAAAATACATATCATGTAAGTCTGCTGTTGGTTAAAATGCTATATTTTGTTTAGACTTGGGGTGATGGTCTGGAATAGATTGTAAATTGATCCTGGTCCTCATTGCGCAAGACTGATGACATCACAGTACAACTATTCATAAGTCTGAAGGTTAATTCTTAATTATGCAAGACACATATGGTTTAGGGGTGTGACAAGTCGCTTATTCCACAAGATGAGACTCAAGATTGGGTTCACGAGAACAAGATTTTTATACTATTTTTAAGAAATCCTCAATGAAATATATGAATGGTAAATATAATGTATAATTCAACTGAATAAAAAAATCACAAAATACAAAAACTTTTTAGGTGTTTTTTAAATAAACGTGTAATAAAATGTATTTTACTTCTATTTTAATGAGTTCCATGCAGTCAATGACATGCTATTGTCAACTCACGAGACAACTTTTCACCTCAACGAGAATTCTTGTCACTATTTAATCTCACAAGATCTTGTAACGCGAGATCTCGCCACACCTCTAATATGCTTGTATTCTGTCATTGACTATATATAGATAGACCATTTTCACTGGTAAAGTCAGACATTTGTCATTATCAGATTCCCTGTTGCATCATTTTCAACGTTATATAGTCTACAGTACTTATACTGATGCTGACACTCTGTAAACATTTGTTCTCACTCAGAACACACACACATGCTGTCAATACAGGCGTTCACCAAATCTACAGAAAGCAGCACGTACAACTCTCTCAGTGTTAGCTATGAAAGAGTACATCATCTAAAATCCGTGGAGTTATCATACATCTAAAATGCTATATGGTAATTTAAATGATCCACACACTTTCAATTTGCTGAGTGCCACAAAAACACATATTTGGCAAATCATAATTACTACCTGTTTGGCATTAGAGGATGCACTAAGGTCTTATGAAGCAAAACGATCATTCTGTGCAACAAACTGAACATTATTTACAACTCTATTATCTGTTATTCACAACCTAGGCAAACGGTTCTGAGCATGCTCCCTGAGTTAGGCTTGACCATCCAACAAACCCAAGTGCTTCAGCTTATATGTGATTTCAGTCATAAGTCATCATTAGTCAATGCAGTGCATGATGAAATGTACATTTTTGGTTGAATTTGGATATCATTAAATACAGTAAGCTGACTCTTGGGTAAAATTAGCTCAATATCTCGAATCATATTGTTTACATTAGCAATGCACATTCTGTTTTATTACACCCCATATATTAGCACATACAGTTAACTGTTTTGTACTACTTGGTTTACCCTCGAGGTGTCAATTCTAAGCCGATCTGTTGTTTTACAGAAAAATAAGGGTGATAGATCAACAAACTAGGGCTGTACAATATATTGTTTCTGCATCGATATTGCTATGTGATCATTCGCAATAGTCACATCACGAGGATACACAGTGTTGAGTCTGGATTATAAACATCATTTCACAAATGTTTTTTGGGGCCTGTGACTGTGGGTTTTAAAAGCATTCAGGGCTAAGAAATTGTACCCTTTGTAATTTAGATAATTCAGTTGTTATTAATTTTTCAAACATAGACTCTGCAGTATTATTTTACATTTGATTATTTAATTATACTTCTGAATTCAGATAGACTCATCGTAAAACAATAAAATGCTGTTTATATCATTTTTATCTTTTTTTTTTTCGAATTTATCTACGCTTGTCATTCCAATCTGTCTAAAATGATGAATTTTTTTTAAATAGTTATCCAACTCATCTAGTGAAATTGTATTAATATCGAAATATATATCGCAGAATAAAAAAACCTAAATGTTAGATTTTTTCAATATCATGCAGCCCTTCAACAACCACTAGACAACAGTCTAACCACTGTAAAAACAAAAGGTATCAGCATTGATGAGCGCTAGCGTGAAAGGATTTAACCCCATTTAAATTAATTTAAAAGCATCTTTATTGCTCATTTTAAAAATGCACAGACAAAAGGCAAGAATAAATCGTTGTAGCGTGCATGTGTCAAGTGCCGGTGTTCATGCAAGCTTTCAAATAGAGTATACTTTGGAAGGCTGGGCTTTCAACAGCATGCATGTTAATGTAGTATACTTTGGACAGTTTGGTTTCAGTTGAAGGATTTTGATGACGCCAAGTTAAATTGGGTTTGCACGTGTCATAATGCAAGCGTGGAGTTTCGACAGAGTTTGCATTGTTGAAAAATGGTGATTTAGTGCAGCATAAACATGTCACCTCATCCGCAACTTGGATTAGAAGAAATGCATTTTCATTGGCTGATGCACTTGACTAAATAAATTCTCTTCTGCTGCTTAATGAAAATGTGTAAGAAATCACAGTGATGATGTTTCAAACAAAAATATATATAGCACTTAGCTTTCCAAAGCACACACAAAAGACGACTCTTGGTTTTATTTTTCAGTGAGTGGCAGAAAAAGCAAAATGGTCCACATTAGGTCTTTATTAGGAGCTGAGATTGAGCCTAGACCAGAGCAATAACCTTTTCCTGCGCTGTAAACATGGCCTCTCTTTCACCTGCTGTTTAGAAATTGGTTGTACATGAGACTGGGGGGAAATGTCAACACTCCGGCGGAGGGCAAGGCACGGCTGCGTAGCACAGCTGCCGTAGTCCTAAATCATCCTCGCTGTGTCGTTCATTTATTTAGCAGCAACAGAAAGGTCAAGCAGTATGCTTAGTTATTTAATGCAAAGACGTCAAATTATAGCCAGTGTGTAATTTCCAATCTCGTCCCTCCACTCAGTCTCTTTTGCTTAGCAGAGATGTGTTTGCTCAGTGGGGGAAGGTGGGGAATGGCGTTATGGTAGCCCACCCCCCTCCCTCCTCCTCTTCTTCCAGCCGTTGCCCCAGTGGAATCGGGTTGGAGGCATTATCTGCTGAAGGTCCTTGAAAACACAGTTGCTGGAGCTCTCTTTCGGTAATAACCCAGCAGACCCCTCTCTCTGCGCAGTTTTGGAGAGTTCTGCCGCTCTGCTTTGATAAGGCTGAATTGAATCACATGTTTGAGGCATGTTAGTTGATTTTGTCAGTGCTGCAGTGGAGAACGGGCATGGATGTCATCATGTTTTTGAAGATGGCTGCTTTAAAGTGCCTTGCTTTATACAAGTGTAACTGCATTGTAATTGCAAAATGTTTTTTTATTGTTTGATTAAATGTTGTTAAATGTAAGTTTTTCTGTTGTTTGTGGGTAGGGATGATTATAATCTGATGAATCGTCATAGTTTTACGGTTATCGTGGTTATTATGCATTCATTAATTTAAAAACATTACTTGTTTAGAAAATCACATGAAAACTCTTTATATTTTAAAGTGTGTTTTTTTTTTTTTTTTTTTTGCTGCTCAGTAACCAAATAATACAGCACAAAATAATAATAGAAAAACAAATAATAGGCCATTTCTGTTTTGATTTTTAAAAGTGAAAAGTTTTTGGCATTTAAACAAGTAAAAAATTTACAGTAAAAATAAATAATCAATCAATCAATCAATCAATCAATAAATAAACGTAATAATAAATAAATAAATGTAAATAAATGTAAGTCTAAGCATCATATTAGCTAAGTATTTCCCTTTTAAAGAGAACAAATGTAGTGAAAGACCTCTGTCTGAAAGGCACTTTTGATCAACTATAATACAAAATTCTTTACTATTTTCCTTTTGTATACTTTTCTCTTTAGAGAAGGAATGTGTATACCATACAAAGTATGAAGCTGACCAGTCAGTTCTTGTCATGTGACTCGCTGTGAGCTCACTCGCGGCATTCTTTCAACTCGGTGTCCCTGGAAAACGTCTGCACGTTGCTGCCAGTATGAGCACATAAGCCATGCACTCCATTGTGAATAACGAACTTGTATGTAAAAAGACAGGATATGTGAACGACATTTAGTTAACAGCCTCAGCCATAGTTAAATCAGCTTTCAAGCCAGTGTGTGTGCATATTACCCTCGGTGTACAAATTCGGAACTTAAACTAGCGCACAGTTGGCATAACTTTTAGTTGCAGCAGATTTGTTCTGTGCAGAAATGCAGTGTTGAAGCCTTTATAACCATGACGAATTAAAGCACAGCTAATAGGGAAATTGGTTAATCATTGCATCCCTAATAGTGGGGCTATAGTAGTTGTTTAGTTTATAGTTTTTCACAGCCTTTATACTTTTATACCAAGTAATATGGCAATATTGCTTTTATTATATAAAAGACAATTATTTTTACCCTCTCTTTTATAGAAATATTTTTACAAATGCTTACTATTATTGTATAAAAACATCATAAATTGAAAAATCACAATTTATAAATGTTATGGTTGTTTTACTCTAAAATCTATATATATATTTAAGGATCATTAGCT